GTATAGGGCGTCTTCCTTACTTGCCAAGATACACTCATATACTTACCACTACTTTGTGCATAATACATAATCAAGAAGCTTAATTACCAGTGGTAGGAGGTTCGTTTTGTGATCGGGAGGCCCAGGTTCGATTCTCGATCGCCGCGCCGCGTCAAAGCAAAGACGTAATCAAGGTAGTGACTGACTTCTTCACCAAGCCCCGACATTAGAAAATGAAAGACACTGGTCTTCACACGAGACAATAAAAACCGAGATATAGTGGTGCATTAGGCGTGAGCACGATACAGAACTCTCGCGCTTCACAAAGACTTGAGGGCCGAGAATATGTCTAAAGAATATGGGGGGATAAGACGAGCCATTTTTCGGCTATGCAAGACGAGCCATTTTTCGGCTATGCAAGAACATTTATTGGAAAAATCTCTCAATTGTTCGAATTTATTTAAGCATTTTAATGTTTACCGTAGTTTTCAAAATGATATTTATATTCTAAACAAGCTAAACAGTTGACTTTCATTTACTGTCACAAATGTCTAACATGGGTAAGGACTTCTATTAATTAATCTGCATATTGAGTGTTTACCCTTATTGTTGAGATATTATGAAAATGTTAACATCGTATATAATGATAATGGTGATCTAGAAGCGCTTTTATTTAAAATAAATAAAAACAGGAATAAAAGTATTCAAATATCTATCATAATTTTTATCCGGCATTTTAAATAATTTACTTTAAATAAGTTCATTACTACATGTATAATATATTTTATTTCCAGTGAAAAATATGTTATTCCTATAGACATTTTTTATAAAGTAAAACAAAATTAAAACAAAAACAAAAAAAACAAAACAAAACAAAAAAAATCAAAAAATCAAAAAAATCAGAGCATGACTCGAACACTTTCCTTAATAAACGTCCCTTTAAAGAGCTCCTCGCTAACCACTAGACCACGGAGACACACTTACCTGTCTATTTAAATAGCATACAGTTCTCTATATTTAGCAAGCGTTTTTGGACTTAGAATTTTTTAAAATCACGGTGAAAATTTAAGTAAGTTAAATTAATTTTTTATGTAGAGTGGGTCTTCATACCAAATTTTTGCAAGTGTAAAAAGCAACATCTTTCCATTACCTTTCATTAATCGTTCTCAAAAAAATGGTACAATGACCCACTCTATTTAAAAAATGTAGTTATATCATACAATTTATGTCAGTTTCTGTGAAAATTGAGCTTGATGCCATTTTGTTGTGTTAATCAGAATCGTTCTCGCTGTAACAGTATTCTGGTTTTGTCAAATTTGTATGCAAATGGTAATAAGCATTACATTAATTCAACAAAAAGTGAAATTTTTGTAAAATGAATTTATTGATTTTTTATCGATCGTCATGTAGGCATATGGCTCGGCTTATCCCTTCTTGGTATATGATGACGTCTGTATATGAGTGAAAAATTCTCGAATGGGACGTAAAACAACATGCAATCAATCATTCATAGAAGTGAGCTACGATCCTCTTGGAACATTGATTCTGGATTTTTCAAGCATTAGTTTAGTTTCTTCAGGATATCCCCAAAACGCAACGCAGAATTTAGCGGTGTGAATTGAACAGTCATCTTGACTTTCGTAACATAGCTAAAAAGATATTTTTAAAAACAAAAATTAAGGAACACTTCATTATAAGTGGGACGCCGACCTATATAAAAACGGGGTTGTTTTTTTAGTATTTACAAAAAGCTTGTCGATTTCTGTTCCGGTCAATGACTTTAGGCTACATACATTTACTAATTCGTTTCTCATAAATCATTTTATTTCAGAATGTACATCGAGATAGGAGGAACCTTTTCATAGACATTATATATAATTATATAGCATGTCATGGTCAACACATTTTGAGTTTGTTATCTCGAATGTTATTTGATATTTTTCTTTACTTTTCATTTATCTATAGTCTTAATTTTTTCTTGAAGTGTGTTTATTTTACAACACATTTCCGTGAATATAATAAAAGCATAATGCATGAATTAATATTATATAAATAAAATCCAAGGGAATATAGATACTGATTTGTAGTGTTACTGCTTGAAAACTTGAGATAAGAATTTAGAACATTAAATCAGTACATGTATGTATTTCTAAATAAAAAGGTTCATCCAAAAGTAGTGCCAGAACTGCTATAAAATCTAAAATAATCCAATTTTCATCAAAATTTTGTATACTAATACCTCTATCTATTTTGACTTTTGCCCTAAAATTTCATTCAGATATATGCAATGCTTTACAAAATATTTAAGGATAAATAACACAAACTATTTTACCCCAAATTCAGATATCTTTGCTAAATTAAGTGCAAAGTTCAAAAATGCAATTTTACAGTTCAATACATTTTTTGAAAAGTTGATAAAATGTATTCAGTTTTCTTGCTTCAAAGTTTCTGGGGACATTTTCAAGAGTGTATTTTTACTTTCTACACAATTAAAATTTATTAATTACATATCCATTAAAAGAAATATTGAAAAAAATACCAGTGTAACTCTTCTGTGTTGAAGATAAGAAAATTTGTTTGTGGTATGTATCCTTAAGTAAACACAACCTTGGCTCTCGTCGATTGCAGCACGCACGGCAAGAATGTAACGACGTCGTTATGACGTTTCACTTGGACACTTACATGTATTTTGAAACATATGATCTACATGATTTACGCAAAAGAAATCTCGTCCCTCTCGAGAATTTTTCACTCATGTGGAGACGCCACCAGTTGCCTGTGGAGGGCTGCAAATTTTGACCTATATTAGACACTCAAGGCCATTGAGCAGTGAGGGATCCCAGCACCTACTGCGACACGGGACCTCTGTTTATACAGTCTCATCCGAAGGACTGGTGAAATGAAGTTTGGAAAAAGTTTAAATAATTTTAATACCACAACTCAAAACAACACGGTTTATAGAAAAATGGCAGTGAATATTATAAAAAAGAAGCATGTGAGGGGTTAAAAAGATATGTCAATGAACTGGAAATGAGTGCTGAAAAGTAGTCCTAACAACGTCGGTAACATTCTTGCCGTGCGGCGACAGACAAAAGCTAGCGTTGTAATCATCATAATATTTTAAAAAGTATTTTATATAGTGGAATTTCCACGGGTACCAATTGCGCCCCGTTATTAGCAGACCTATTTTTGTATTCATATGAAGCAGAATTTGTTCAAAATCTTTTACCTGAAAAGAAGAAAACACTTGACGTGGCCTTCAACTCGACATTTAGATAGATCGACGACGTATTGTCAATTAACAATGGTTATTTCCATTCTTATGACGACATGATATATCCCGCTGAGCTTGAGATAAAAGATACCACAGAGTGTGACACATCTGTTTCATATTTGGATATTTTATTAGAAAAAGACGTTAATGGTAATCTAACAACAAAGATTTATGAAAAACGTGATGACTTTAACTTTTAAATCGTCAACTTCCCTTACGTATGCAGCAATATACCCTTATCACCTGCATAGGGAGTTTATATCTCTCAGTTGATTCGATACGCAAGAGCATGCTCTACGCATGAACAATTTCTAAAACGAGGTAAGTTATTGACAAACAAGTTGATGAAACAAGAGTATCAGCAGTCTCGTTTAAAATCATCATTTCGTAAGTTCTACGGTCAATAAAATATCCTTGTCAGCAAAAACAATTTATCATTAAGTCAAATGCTGACTGACTTTTTTCATACTAATTGTTAGGCCATTATTTACACATTGAATTGTCAACGGATTTTTCCGTTATTTCCCGATCGTGACAAGGAGCAAACGGCGCGTGTGAACGATCGGCAGGGGATGCTCACTCCATGGCACCTGATCCCACCTCTGATGTCTTAGAGGTCCGTGTTTGCTCTGCTCCTATTTTGTAATGTTTAATGGACTTTTGTGCTCGAATACTGTTCGTTACCTCCACATATTTCTTGTACGGGCGGATCTGCCCTGAAGGACTTCTAGGCCAAAATGCATTAAAAAATCGGTGCTTTTTTTATCGAACAAAAAGCTGTCTTGGCCAGCTTTGGAGGTTTATTTTAAAGTCGTAAGTAATAAATTTTAAATTTGAAAAAAAAAATAGACATGTACACGATAAACAACTAATGAACATCGATTATCGATAATGTGACTTTTTTCCGGAAAATTATTTTCTCCCATAGGTCAATTCCTTTGAAATTGTGAATATATCCTTTAAAATTTTTTCAGCAGATTTAAAAAAAAAATATATAACTATACAAAATATACAACTCAAAGTTTTACACAGAGATTGCAATTTCTTTGAAATACTAGTAATTCAATGTCGGTGTCTTCAAAACTGGATTGTCATTAACACATTTTTTTTTTATATTGAGCTATGTCAATATCTGAATGTAATCGTAATTAGGTAACAAAAAGTCGTGTTCATAAATATAGCAAACTCCTTTGACAATGTTTGATGGAAATATGAGACCACTGTTATATTATTAACAATTACTACTAGAGACAATTTTGAATGCTCTCGTACTACATGTAATACCTCAGAATTTACCAGTTTTATATGCCATTTGAAATTAATTAATTAATCTAAAATGGGTTTCATCCAAATACCTTTTTTCCACATCCTTATAATCCCAATCTATTGATTGATTGGTTGATTGCATGTTGTTTTACGTCCCATTCGAGAATTTTTCACTCATATAGAGACGTTCATTCCATTTGAAGCATCAAGATGCATAAATAAGTTACATGTATGTAACTTGTTTGATTATCAACATTGACATTTAATTACATTTACAAATGATTGAATTGGCCTGCAAAAACTGTCTGACAAAATTCAGTAAGGGTCTCCGTTTCCTAGTACTTTTTAGAGTTGAACATTTTAGGACCATTTTTTTTTAAGTTCTAACGGTTCATTTAACATGCTACCTACATACATTTATAAATACAATGCAATTTTCAATATGATCAAGTTTCTTTACAGATAGTAAAAGAACAAGCAAGACTGTATCATTAATTTAATGAACATATTAAACTTTAATTAAAATACATTTTCACAACACTAACCATTCAATAGCTTTCTTTCATTTGTTTGCAATATGAGAATACACAGTATTTGATAGTAAAAAATCAACATACTCTTGAATAAAAAAAAAGTCACCATTACTTATGGAACAAGCAACAGAACTATATTAACAATAATATAAAAATGAACCTTAATGCTGAACTGTATTTGGCTAAAAAATACAAAGACCTATACTTAAAGAATACTACTTGAAACATTAAAGATTTTCGACAAAGACAACATCAAATATAATTTAAAAGCTCAAATTTTATAACAATAGGTTGTTATTGATACAGTGCATAATTATGCTAAATATGTATTACAGTCTCATTCAAACATTTTGTAAAGGTGTAAATGTATTACACAAGATGATGTCCTGCATTCTTTTCTTTAATACATATTAATTTTGTATCTGAAAATTCAATTCATAAAGAGTATCTTTTAAAAAAAAAATTCAAAAAAAATTTTCATAAATGAAACAAAGAATTTTCTCTGTACACAACATTTCAAATGATGTTTACTTCAATTTCTACAGTAAAATTTTCTCAGCAAAGACCCTGTCCTCTCTTCACTATAATTTAAAAAAAAAAATTAAAAACATTTCTTAAAACATCTTTGTTTTTCTTAGCACTTCATATATTTTAAATTAACACTTTTTACACCTGGTTGAAGGTGCATATTCTCAAAAACCATGAACTTTCCTCAGCAATTGGAATATTACATATTTTAAACAGTTTCAATATTAACAAATTGTATGTACATTAATTGTGATGAAAATTGACAAAATGGCTATACTAGGCATTAATAATCTTTGCAGATATCAGCTTTTATAAACACAAACATACAGACAAAGTCATTGAGATTTTAACACTGGAATGTAAGACATATATATTTTACAAGGTCAAAGAAGTACTCCACAGTCACACTGGTTTCACATACAACCTTAAAAGCATGAACTAGATATTCAAATATAAAAGGGGGTTAAAATTCAGGTAAACATAATAGTGAAAACAATCAATTTATATTCAGCTGGAAGATAGATAAAAATAGCATGTCTATCTTAAGCCCTCCATACTCTCTATGATCTTCAAAGCAATGACCAATACAGTAAAAATCAGTTTGCTATCACCAGAAATTCACTATTATATCCAACTTTGTTATATTCCTAAAACTTGACAAGGAATTGTTTAGAATTTGCAAAAAACTTCGCTATGTCCATAACTTCGCTATACCAGTGTTTGTACTAAAGAGTTTTACTGTACATATTTTACATCAGTTCAGGCAATTCAAATAGAGAATAATGCATGATTTTCCTTTATAAAAAACAACAGAAAAAAAACTTAGGTTTATTAATGAGATCTTACACACACACAAAAAAAAATTAAATAGCTTTTTTGATGATCATCTTTTCCAACATGTCCACAGAATATGCTTAAAAATGCGAAACAATCCAAATTTGTAGCTTTTAACTTTTTAAATGGCTCAAATGTGCATATAAATTCTTTCATTCAAATTACAAGGTCTCATGATCAAATATTAGGATGATACATTCACTCATCTAATTGCAACATCTCTCTCAAGCATTTATACTCTACTCTACAAAATACATGTAACTTGCAATTTTTCACAACTTCAAAACTAAATGTACACCATACATACAGCTTTAAAAATATGCACCAGCAGTTGAAAATAACTCTGATCTAAATTCATATGCTGCTTTCTAGCTTCAAAAATTTAAGCATTTTATGATAATGAAATCTGTTCATGCTAAAAATGAATATTTACAAGCAATCTTTCCTCTTCTACTGACTCTCAAAGTATGTTCAAGCACAGGACAAATAGAACTCAAATGGTGCTATTTTCATACATGAAATGGTGCTATTTTCAATCATGTTCAAAGCAATTTAAACATGTCTAAACCTACTTCAACAATTTGCTACTTTAATTACCACTAAGACAAGGAAACACAGAATGGGACTTCTATCTTGTTGTAGATCTCTGAAATATTAACAATTCTCACAAATCCAACTTCCATTAAATGAGGTACGTGAAACATACATTCTCTAGAATTTGTTCCGAGTTTTTTGCTGATTTCAGAATCTTAAGTCTGACTCAATATTTGTAATGTTTCATAAATTTGAAGAAAAGATAAATGGAAAAATGTAAGAAATATTCTGTTCATGTAGGCACATTTTGCTGTATTTTTGCGTAAGGTAAATATTTAAAAAGGTCCTAGTTCTCTGTGCGTTACAATATCAGAGAGAGAGCCATTAATACTAATGACAGGAGAACAGCTGATGTTGTTGATACTGGCAATGCAGAGTTACTGTATTCTGTAATAAAAAAAATCAAAATTATTTGCACATTTCTTGTTTTTGCTTCCTCAATATTTGAAATCAAAAATATCAACATTTTAGGATGATAAAAGTGGCTTACATAACAAGAAAATGCTAGATATGGTTAAAATGTATATATTTCAAAGCAATGATTATCCAACTTTGTGCAAAGCTAAAACCAAAACTAATCCCAACATGCTTCAGATCTGCAGCTTTGCAGCCATCAAAAAAAAAAAAAAAATTCAGAGTATCTTGGAATTTGTGCTGTTCTCATTAATTTATAAAGTGTCATATTTGTAGTTTGGGAAATTTTCCACTAATTGTGTTACCAAAACAAAATTGCTTATTATCGAAATCTGATCAAAATTCTAAAAACACACTTGATTTGGGGCATAAGTCCATAACAGGTCAAACTAAAGCTGACGTTAGTACCCATTTATGACTGGGTGGTGTGATGATTAAATCCAACCCAAAACATCATGAGAACATGCTTATGACTACCATAAATCTGGAAATTTTTAACATAAATTCATTTTTTGCCCCTTTGCGCATGTAGTCAATTCACAAAAATTCCTTATTAAAAATAAAATAACCTTAAAAAATATGCCAGCATCTCTTATGTTTAAACAAATTAATAGTTTGTAATAAAAGCTCACACTGAAGCAACACAAAATTTCCTTCGCATGCACACTGACTGACTGAATAGAGTTTGTATGAATATATGTAAACAAACAAGCATGGATGATTAAGAAAAAAACATTGGGCCTGTTTTTACATAAAAGTAATAGAAAAAAAAATTAATTTTGCCCCCTAAGAATTTAGCCTACATGTATATATATATATATATATATATATATATATATATATATATATATATATATATATATATATATGCAAAATTTAAGAACATAAAAATATATATATATATAACATTTTAACCCAAATTTGCCAACACAAAAGAATAAGAACTTCCAGATTTATGGGACATCATTGATCCATAGGCAATCACAGGTACTTGACATATTTTTTATCCCCTCACAACGGAATTGGAGGGGATACAGTAACGCACTTGTGTGTGTGTGTGTGTGGGTGAGTTAGTTTGTCCTTGTGTGCATAACAGAAGTGACATAATTTGCATCCGAATTAATGGATGTTGAATGCTGCTTTACTTCATATGCTCTTTGGCAAAGGGATGCTCCGCTTTGTAGTGCCCTTGTTATATTTTATGACTTTTCCTTACAAATTATTCAGTTATGTTTTTAAATCGGTAGAGCGAGCCTGAAGAGGAAATTTATAATGATATGCATGATGTGTTTTATCTGTTGAAGTCTCCCCTAGTTAAGCCCAAAAATGTCTGCCAACAAAGTGAATACAGTGGCAGAGAATAATTATGCCAAGTTTTTCTTTTATGTTTAATGTTCACATTCCATATCAAAACGAGAGTGAAATCAGTAATTTGGAAATTATTTTCTCTGTCAAGTTGACCTTTGTGAACATTTCCCAAAACTTGATAAAAAATTGTTGAAATTAATAATTTTATGAGTGGAGTGGAATAATATTATGAAATAACAATCTTAAATGAAGTAATTACCCAACTAGATTGTTTTGTTTTATCTTATCTGTTTTGTTTCTGTGTGTGTTTTTTGTGCATTAAATTGGAATGGTATGTATGGTTTTGAATCATATGTGGACCTTTTTCAGTTAACATAAATAATGCCGAGTGCCTGTAATGGCAATGGATGTAGAAAAATACATCTACAAAAAAAGCTGTAATGAACTTAAATTATCTCAGAAATATTTACCAGAGTCTTTGTCTCCTGTGTATAGATTGAAAATAAGCTGCTATAATCAAACATCTTGAAACTGAATAATTTATTTTCTCTTCCAGGTAGTTAATTTTGGTATGTGTGTGTTTGTGTATAAAACATGTATATTATCTGATCTCAACTACATCCCGATAGCATGACTAGCTTGCCTTTACTGGTGAAACCCTGAGGCCAGACTTAAGTGGCATACAACTATACTTTCACAAGGGTAACAACTCTTAAGCAGATCAATATTACCTTGCCTTGATTCTAACCTGCATACTTTTGTAGATATTCTTTTTTGAAAACTACAGCTTAAAAACTGATAAAATTTCCTATTAAGCAGGTGTCATGGTTTGTCATGGTGTAAAAAATACCACAGCTTAAAAAAAATAGAAAGCAGTAGAAATTTTTGCACTAAGGCAAACACAGAAAAAACACAGAAAACCAATTTCAGTGAATGTAATTCAAAGCCACATGGCAGATGAATTAAAATTCATTTCATGGAAATGCTTTTATGGTAGTTGATATATATGTGTTTTCCTGGTAAGAATCTATCAAGCTGAGTAGAGAGAAATATTTAGAGAAAAAATATACTCCTACCTTTCCAACATTGACCTTACACAAAATCTTTCTTCTTATTTTCTTAAGTTACAATTTTGATATTAAAGTTGTCTTTAGAAAATATTGTCAGCTATTTAATTTAAAGTAAAAACTATCTATTAGGAAAAAAAGTATGAGAGTAAGAAGTGAGGCATATCAATATTGGCCAGCATTAAAGTTGCTACCCTAGGAAAAGAATGAATGTAATGGGGTATTTTATATGGCATGTCTGATGCACAATCTATAAATTAAACACAATTTATTTAAGAATCTGCACCTCAAATAGTACAGACATACTTGACTTCACATCAAGATTAACAAACGCAAAATAATCTCTCACCTTGTGGAATGGAAAGTTGATATTGGTTTGTTTTTGACCGTGGATCATTGTAGATTACACGGAATGGAGTCTTAAAATCATCTGCAGAAACCTGTAAGATCTCCATAGTTGATTCTACCATTGACGCATTCACTTGCTGCAAAAAGTGAATTTTTTTTTTTTAATTTTTTTTTAAAGCATGAGGATTTGCTTATATAGGCACTAAACATTTAAGATACTTCTCTTAATACATAAGCAGTCAAACCTCATTATCTCAAACTCAATGGGACTGGTGAAAACCTTCAAGATATCCTAGTATTCAAGATATCAAAGAGTAAAATACTTAAAAAGTAAGTAGTTGGTACCTCCAATTCACTTTGACATATCCATGGTATTCAAGATATCAGTGTTCAAGATATCAAAGTTCGACTGTATTAATGAGAAAAGTCAACACTTACTTTGCACTCAATGGTTACACCAGCATGCTCTCCAGGTAAATACTTTTCTCCATCATTGCCCTTCTGCCAAAGTATTTTGTTACACCCAATACCCTCTATACCATAAACTGCGCATGTAACCTTGTGTCTTTTGTTGTTTACAATGGCAGAATTGTTTGAGCAACTGAATTTGGGATCAACTAGAAAAACAAAAACAACAAAATGCATTGATGTTTATTATAAAACTTTAGATATGAATATTTTTCCCCAAAAAAATGTTTCTGTAACAAGAATACCTCCATTCAGATTAAATTCTTTGTCAGATGACAAATAACTTGACTTTAACTTGCTTTCAAGACATCGTTCGTAAAATTTTTTATGTGGATATAAGAATTAGAAATACAAACATCAGCAAGTCTAAAAACAATTACATATACTCCTTTTGATGCATTGGCACCAAACTGAATTACATGCATAACAATGCTACTGCAAACAGAACAAGAGGCCCATGGGCCACATCACTAACCTGAGCACTTTAGCTTGGAAAAAGCAGAAATCAGCTCAGTATTGAAACATTTAAATATAAATGTGGTTCTGACATTTGATCTTCTATTGAGGCCTTGTCCTACCTCCAGGGACACGATTGGAACACATCTGAAACTACTCTACCTGAGGATACATCTAGATTAATAAGACAGGGTTTAATGTTCTTGAGAAGAAATTTTTTCCCTATATATTCCTATGTAAAACTTTGATCCCCCATTGTGGCCCCAACTTAACCCTGGGGGTCATGATTTGAACAAAGCTAAATCTACAATACCTGAGGCTGCTTCGGTATTAATACGACTCAACAAGACTTTGCTATTCCTGGGAAGAAGAACTTTCAAGATATTTTCCTATATATTCCTATGTAAAAATTTGATCCCCTATTGTAGCCCCACCCAACCCCAAGAGGTCATGATTTGAACAATCTTGAATTTACTCTACCTGAAGATGCTTTCATATTAATATGACTAAACATGGCTTTGCTGTCCTTCATCAGAAGACTTTCAAAGATTGTTCCTATGTATTCCTATGTAAAACTTCCATCCCCTATTGTGGCCCCACCCTACCCCCAGGGATCATGATTTGTACAAATTTGAATCTACACTATGTAAAGAAGGTTTTAACTAAGTTTAAATTCTTTTTGGCCTAGTAGTCCTTGAGAAGAAGATTTTTATAGGATACCATCAAATTTTCACTATTTCTTAATTAAGAGTGCAACGATAAACCGTTTGACGGTATATCGCGGTATATTTTTCCACGGTTCAATTCACAATACGCTAAACTGATATCGTGGTTCAGTTCAATCGGTCAAGAATTATCCGAATCGTCCGTCTTGTTTCCTTGTTTACAATTTCAAAATGGCTTCTGCGCAAAACATGAGGTCGACGATAACGCCATAACGGCAGTTAAACTCATCTCCAGCATCTTACGAAAGACAGATTTAACATGGTGAAGGACTTTACCTCATTCCTAACGTGATTAAAAGTTAAAGATGTTAAGACAAGTGATAAACCCTTTAGATCTAAACGTATTCTATGGTAATACACGATATCTCATCATGCATGTATTTGGATGAAAATTTACTGTCTTGTTGACTAAAATGTGTTTACACGAGAAATATGACAACTGGTTTTCTACGTAAAAAAAAGAAATAAAAGAATGAATGTCTTCCTTTTTCATTCCAATTTAAAAGGAAGATTATGAGGAAAGATCCCTGTAAATGTTCGTCATTGGTTTAGAATATTGTCACAACTCAAAGATCTACCTATCAATCCAATTCAAGTTAAAAAATTGATATTTTAATTATTTTAATAAAAAAAATATGAAAATTTGATATAACCGTCAAGTTTTAAAAAAAATGTGATGACAAACTTAAAGACTTCTTAACCTTGTCATGTATCGTGATACGTATCGTATCGTGAACTGAATACCGTGATATGTATCGTATCGTGAGGTTGGTGTATCGTTGCACCCCTATTCTGAATTATCTCCCCTAGGAAGAGGAAGTGGCCCTTCATTGAACAAATTTGAATCCCCTTAATAATAGGATACTTTGTGCCAAGTTTAGTTGAAACTGGTCCAGTGGTTCTAGAGGAGAAGATGAAACTGTGAAAAGTTTACGACGACAACAACAACAGACAAATTTAGATCAGAAAAGCTTAGGTGAGCTAAAAATTGTTTTTTAAAATCAAATATAAATTCATTGCTAAAAAATTTACTTACTTGTACGAACAACAGCTATATATGTCCTTTCCTGCTTAGAATCTGGTAAACCATCCACACTGGAGCTGCACTTTATAAGAGATTCTGTGTTACCTGTCAAATTCCACATAAATTAATGTCAATATTATCATTATACACAAAAGGCTTAAAAAACTCAAAATTTAAAAAGCTCAAAACTACTGATTACTGCTGACAACAATTTTCAGTCTATCTACAAGCAACTTGTGCTTTTTTATTGGCTTCTTAACAATTTTTTTAAAGACATTTTTATGACTATAAGCTATTTGGATAACTCTTTTAGTTTTTGTTTTTTTTTTTTAAAAAGAGCTAGCAGTTTCCTCATTGACAAATATTACTAAAACTTCACAAAGATTGTCTCTTGGTCAAATCAATTAGGTTTCTATGAGATCAGAGGTCTTCTTCATCATTTTACTCAAGATTGGACTAAGCTTCAATGTTGTTACAGTTTTTAAACTTGTCTAATCCAGCCACCACTGGTTCCAAAGATATTGGTTGGATTAGACAACATTTCAGATTAGACAACATTTTAAACAATTTACATTACTAAAAGGGACTTAAAAGTTTACATCGTATTAGGCAAGATTTTGAAATACACATTTATATACATTCAAATTAGGTAAGTTTCAGTGTATTGATCTTCTCTAATCAATTACTGTACATATTTCTTTCCAACAATAAAAAATTATCATCTATCAAGAGCAAAAAAAAAAAAACAGATTACAAGTCATTTAATCTAATTAATTAATTCCCTCCCAAATTTTCTTGCAATATGGTTAATCCAAGATAATTCCTAACATTATAATTAAAATGACCAAGGCCAATTTTAATATGTCATTCTTTCTAATTAACATGATTAAATGAAACAAACCTTTAAATTCCATTTTATCTGCAACAAACTGTGTTCCTCCCTCATTCGGCATATCTACCATTCTCCCTTTCATCATTTCAGAACCCATCGTGATCATCACATTGGCCTTTGGCGTACTGCCATTCACCATACAAGTTGGCCCATACATTCCCGGATCAACTTCAATGCGGTGTGGAGCGGCATTGTTATCAAGTGTTAGAGTTTCTGTCAGCGATTGGTCAAACTTGAAGGCCATTGTCCTAATGGGTTCTATAAGAAGAGTTAAACAAATCAAGTGAATTGTTGTCTCAAAATGCAGCATTTTTTCTTTATTTCACATTTTAAACATTTATAAGCATTCTATTGTCTATATTAAACATAAAATATTAAGGAAGAAAGTGATTTAGCAGAGGGAAGTATGGTAGGTTGTTTGACATTTATCTGCATGAGGCTTTACTAAGAAATGTCTGTTATGCAACACTGTGCAACACACACAAATGACCGTCTTTAGAAGGAATGGGCTGCAACATTCTCCTGTTCAAAGTTTCAAGTTTCTGTTTTATCCAACTTAGTCTAAGAGCTCTCTATGAAATGTATGGCTTCATTTCAAGAATTTAAGAGAATATCAGACAAACAATCAGTGATAAATTCTCACTATGTACACTTTTCCAAGTCAAAAATAATTAATATGTATGTGTTTTTGAACCAAATTATCATTACCATGATTATAATTAATCCAAAACTTTCTTTTCTGTCTGACATGCTTTCCTTCTCAAACTAAATGTTCATTGCATGAGTGGAACCCTATTCAAAATTTTGCCTATTTTCATATGTTTAGATGTGAATTTGAGCAGCTCTTCGAAGAATGTGAAATACTATGAATTAATATTTCCAATCTGTTTACTCACCAAAAAAATCTGAGCATTTACTGAAAACTTTTGAAGTAAATCTGAAGCATGGCAACAAAATGTGTTTTTAGAAAAAGAGGTCATGCCCTTTGACTTCACAGCCCCTAAAGCAATCATAGCTGAGCTACCCTGAATCACCAGCAATGGAATCCATCGGATAGCCATATTCTTCCCTCCTTAAAGGTCTTTGGTCCCTGAAGACACCAACCTAGGCTCTTCCCTCAAAGGTTTTTTACCTGTCACTTCAAGGGCATGGCACCGCACTGAATGTAACAGGACAGGAGAAAAATGTAACAGAAGACCAGTTTTATGAACCCAGTCCCCCAATCCTTCTGATGACCACCAAAAACCAAAGATGCAAATATAAGCATCCCATCAAAAACTATTCACAAACTTTTGCAGTAAAACTGGAGTTTTGATTTTAACAACAGAGCCTTTGTCCTTATTAACATGTAAAACCCATGAACACAAAGGCAAATCCAGCCATGGCAAGCTCTTCATTAAAACAAACATTTGTTGCTAACACAAACCTTTCTCATCATATTTTAAAATTTTTATATGTGGAAGTAAAACAAACCCTAATCTAGAGAATTTCCAATATTAAATTGCAAACAAAAAAAATATATATCCTTTGACACTGAAAACACTAATTGTTTCAAATTTAATCCATTCTTACCTCTCACTTTAATAACCACATCTTTTTTTGCCACAAGCTCATCCCTGATCCATTTACCACTCTGCTTTACTTGTTTCCACACCTGACAGGTTAAATTCCCAGTGTCCTTCTTCTGAATATCTAAAATTAACACAAACTTTCAATCAGAATATAAAGAGGTAAGTGTAGAGCAATAAGTAAAATAGGTATAATATAATTAGTAATTTTATATAATATAATTTAAAAATTTTTTTCATTATCAATTATTGGAATAATTGGACGGACTTCAATCGATTAATAATCAATTAGTTTCAAGTATTAAATTTATGAAGAGTAAAAAAGTAAAAAATCTGGAAAGATTTCTAAAATGCATTTTTGATGTTACTAATTTTGTATCATTGGATTCATTTATGATATCATTATTTAGGATTTAGTTACATTCAAAGGAAAATGAATCAATAAATCATAGGAATAATATACTTTTAGCTAAGATTTTGATTAATCAATTATCAAAATTTTAATCGATTATCTATTATCGGGGGCCATTTCAATTAGATAACTGATTTAATCGATTAATCGGTAAATCACTAAATATAAAGAACTCAGCTAAGTTAGTTTAATATCAAAAATTAAGTCAGCCGGTGAAACTGTGATAATTTACTCAAATGTTTGCATGTTAATAAACATAGGGCTTATAGTCCCTTGCAGATGAACCTGCTCCAAAAATTTTAATCTGGTCACTAATCCAAAAAATGTTGGTCAGATCTAGCATCTGAGGAAAATCTTGAAGTGTGAATTCCAATGCATCAACCTTGAAAGTTTGGTCAAAGTAGGTCTTATAAAGTTACTTGGGAATAAACCTGCTCCAAAAACTTTAACCTGTTCATGCTTTAAGAAAATATAAATCAGATCCAGCATCTGAAGCAAGTCTGGTAAGTGCATTCCTATATAAATTTGCATCACCCAAACAAGTTTAGTCACCATAGGGCTTAAGGAGGTTGGATCCTGCCATCAAAAGTAATGAGAATTTTTTATCAAGTATATTTTTAGAATCTACACACATAGCTTAAGGAGGAGAAGGACCTTGAGCTGAAAAAATACTTGTCATTCAATTTTTTTTTCATATTTTGTATATTTCTAATTAAGTATGTCCCACATATCATAAAGCAGTTATATCATTAGGTTTCTTACCTTATTTTGGAGATATTGATTGACAAATACTATGCCCTACAGTATCTAAGTGGAGTTTTAATTCTCCATGTTTCCGGACTCATCACTCTGTCCATAATGGGATTTTTTAAGCATATATAAAAAAATATTAAAGTGGACATGTATCTTTTAAAATAATACAGAGTATAAATAGATTGAAAATTCGAAAAAGCAAGTTTTGTCTATCACACTGCATCTGGATATGGAAAATTACGCACGTTTTAAGACAACTTAAACAATAAAAAATGTAATTTACAAAAAATCTATCATTCAACATTTTTTTTATTTACGTTGAAATGCAAATCCTTCAAATTATTGATTGACTGTAAAAATTTCGAATGATGAAGCTGACCTCAATATTTCACAGGACATCGTTAAAGAGGACATAAGCATGACAAAAAACGTGTCATGTTACATTTTTCGTGTACGGGAAAACCCAGCTGTGACGTCACACGTAAGGTAAATAAGCGAAATAAGATATACCTACATAAGATTTCCGTCATCAGCCATGCAAAAATAATTTTTGTGTTCCCCGTTTCTCAAAATATTTCATCATATACCGATTATGACCTGTTTTTACATAATAATACTGCCCCTGTGTTCACCGAGTATGATCTTGCTGTACTAACAGATCGTGTATGACGTCACCGACTTGTTGGACGTGCAGTTTAGGAAACAGAGGAGTGGATCAATCTTTTTCATAATTTGTTAATGTTTACCAGAATGTTGAAACTTTTTACTTTTTTTAAATAAGATGGTAATTAAAGTTAAAACATTGTCAAAAATTTATACAAGAACTGACGCTTTACACGTTTTGCACTTATATAAACGGAGACTATGACGTAGTTAAACAGAATCATGTGACCATGTGTCCTTCTCCTCCTTAATTAAAAATCAAACCAAAAAATGAGGGTCAATGTGCTTCTTTTGGTGCTACAGAGCATTAAGTTTGACCTTTTTGCACTGTAAATACATCTTACACATAAATCAATTTTTAAAGATTTTCCTCCAATATTTTTTATTCAAATAAATTATGGGAACAAACACAGTCTTATTTCATCTTGAACAGACACATTAAAATTTGTGACAACAATTTTATTTTTTTAATTACTTCACATGTTCAATTATTTGACCTTTTTGCACTCAAAAAAATATCATTTTTCTGGCATTAAAAATTTAACAAGCAATAAAATCATTTGAAAGTAATGACATTTTACTGAATTTAAGAAGAATGGTTAAAAGTATCTTATACATTCAAAAAAGAAAATTAAAAGTGGGGGTCTGTGATGTTAATTTTAGATATTAATATCTAATAGTAATTACAAAATAGTGCTAGTTTTAAGCTTAAATTAAGGCTTTTTTTCTGGATTTCCACAAAATATTTGCTATATTTATCAAATATGATGATAGAATTCATGATAGTATATTTAATATATATTATAGGACAGCATAAAACAGTTCACGGCACAGAATAACTCTGTGTGCAGGCTGCATGGAAAAACAGGAATCCAAACTTAACAAGCTTTAAATATACTTCGAAGGAGAAAAAAAATGATCTCTTTTTTTTTTAAAACCTTCCGCCACAAAATATAGTTCCTCACTTGATGCTTTTGGTATGGAATTTAATAAAGGAGTTTTAACTGAATATACATGTAGTTTATTTGGCATTGTAGAATCCAAATTTATTGTAAGAACTAAAACATATAATGCAGAATTTTTGAAAAATAGGTTATGACAAAAATCTGCTCAAAAGCTCAGGAGCGAATCTCGTTAAAGCTACTTTGGGATAAAACCTGCTCCTAAAAACTTTAAACATTCATGGCCTCGAGGAAATGTACCTGGTAGGTAAGATTCTGCATGTATATAAACATGATCCATGATCCATCTTTTTTAGGGCTTATAAATCCTTGAAAATAAGACCCGCGCTCCTTAAACTTTAACTGGGATGCCTTGGCTGATGCCAAAGCAGGTGGTATAGCATAAGCTCACCTTGAGATGAGCTAAAAAGGTTGGAAAAAATCTCATTTTTTACCTCTCAGTGGCCCATGAGGTGACCTGACCTGACTGAGGCCGCACAGTGGCTGAGGCCGGGTCAGGTCAGCGATTGGGCCAGGTCAAGGGTCCTTATTTCACCATGTGGAACTCATAACTGGTAATCAATTGTTTTATTATACCGATATTAGGAAAATAATATATATACACCAAGTGTATGATACTCGATGTCAGAGAATTCTTTAAATTACCAACTGTTCCTTGATCGGGATTGCTGTGAAGTTCTTTACATTGACTCCTGTGAGTCGTGTAAGTTCTTGCATCATGATTTACTGATTAATTAAAAACAATTTTTGATTGAAAGTAACATGCATTGTTATAACGTTACTATTTCTGAGCACAATGGAAATCTGGCGCAGAATTTCAATGTACAGAAGACTGAGTCCTCAATCTCCGAAATTGAATTGTAATGAAATTTTCAGATGAATAAAAGATGAATTTTATGATGTATAGATCTATTGTATTCTACATATAATCATGATAATGATTATTCTATGCATTAAATTTAATATATTAAAAGGAATTTGATTAAGAGGTCATTATTAAGCAGTCAAATAATAACCGGGTTATTGTATTCCATGCGCAATGATTCCTAAGTCATTACGTATTGCTGTAGACAGTACTTTTTAGCTCTAGTCATTATTGAGTTTTAAAGCTTTCTTACAAGCCAATCAAATTTGAGTATTCTCAATAGAGGTATAATAAACAATTATAATATTATTAATAGTGACAGTTTTTTCTTCAGAACAGTAAACAGTCAGGGGTGAGATTGAAATCCATCATTTCTGAAAAATGATGGATAATCATCATATTTACAAACTACGTATTTTCGTCATTTTTGTCAATATGACTTACTATTGTCATATTTTCTTTTTCAACTTAATTCTTCTATCCTGGTTACATAAAAGCAAAATTTGAATTCACTGCTGAAAGAAGAGTGTTTACGCATGTTTCATTTCATCCGGGTCACTAATTACTGCTGACCACGTGCGTTAGAACATCAACATGGAAGGTGAAAGTTATTATTTAGCGGTAAAATGTCAAATTTGGTACACCATTTTTACATGGCTTTTAGCCCTATAAAAACATATAGTACACTGTCTGGAAGAATACGTACTTGTAGAGAAAAGTCCCGACAAAAAGCTAAAGCCATAAAAAAGTAGTGCGCCCCACAAAACAAGCGAGATATTTCAGTGCGCCCAGACCCTCCATTTTCAAAAAAGACGAAATATCGTCATTTTCGTCTTCTATCCCATTTAATGCAAATAAATCGACAAATAACTCTTCCACTCTTATTTTTGCTTGGGAAATTTGTACTGTCAACATAACCAGTATTGTGGTCAACTGTATTAGAGAAATGAAGTTTGTTTACGATGTTTTTTGTCCTTTTTTCGGTTGGTGGATCTAACATTTTTCAAAGAGATCGAGATAACTCGGTACTCTAGAAACAATTAAAAATGACGAGTTTAAGACATAATAAAAATTTTATCTTATGACTAAAAATCGTCATTTTAAAAATGACGGATTACAGTCTCACCCCTGACTGGTAAAACATACTTATAGCAAACATGTGTATAATGAATTGACAATTACAACAAAGTGATTTTCATTCCTGTTGACTTTAAAACATATTGAACACTTAATGGATACAACAAATTATGCTTATAACAACAAGCCTACATATATACCCTATATATAACCTGTATTAAGCATTTATATTGCATTCCAAAATAAAGCATCTCACTCAATTTTCACAGATTAAAGTATTTTAAAACTCACTTTGTACGGTAAATTCTAAGCTGATGTTCTTTGCCTGTGGGGAGAGCACATTGCATATATACTTGTCTGACATTGTGTCGGGGTCCTCAAATTCACATAGACTAGTCAACTGCTCTCTATTGTGGTACCACCTGACCTTGAGCATACTAATGATGTCGAGAGCTGAGAGGCCAGGTATGTTACAGAGAGCCTTTACGTTCTCGCCTTTGTTAACCATGGCTTCTGTAGGTGTTAATGTTACTGTATACTCCTGACCCTGTGTCACTCCTAAAAAAAGAAAAGAAATTTATAACAAAGCTTCATTGGAAATAATTTTAATCACAGTTCCATAATAGAAAATTAGTTAGGCATAATAAAAAATATGATTGTTTATGGCTACCCGACTGACCCTATATTTAATCATCAACCCAAATATTTTTTCGTCGTTAAAGTCCAGAAGTCACTCACCCGTCAGTTCAACTTTTACATGCATCTTAATCGGTCAAGCATTTAAAATCGAAAGTACTAGAAACAAAATGGTGTGTTTACATTAATGTGTTCGTGTCTATCGCCCATATGACAAGCCCAAACAAAAGTAAAGCACCATTTGTGAATTTGTGTATTAAAAAAAATTCAATAAAATAAAAAAAATCCTACCTACCGACCCTATATTATTTCAGCATGTAACCGTAAACAAACATTTTTTTTTTATTACGCCTTATGGAGTAATTAATACTGTACAGTAGAAATTGCCATTGGATGTTAATTACGTATCCACAGAAATATTTCCTAATTGTACATGACATATTTTAACCATATCATATCCGCTTAATGAGTATATGTCAATTATTTTTAGAAATAAAATGCAGATTTCAATACTTAAAACTCGAAGTGATACTCAATATTCAATCAGTCACTTTTACTGGACTAAAATCATTGCAAATAATTGCATTACCTATATTTAACATTTCGAAGGTTTTTAAATGCATATTGCTTCCTTTCCAATTTCAGAATAATTTTCAAGAAACATGAATTGTTATTATCATTCTGCCTGATCTAGAATACTCTGTTCTGAGTGATTGGAGTACAAGAGTTAATACTTCTCTTCTAATACATAATCAATTGGTACAACAGAGACAGCCACCAGGACAAGATAAAGACAAGGATGGCATATGGACCAAATCTGACCCATGACTTTCCCAAAATCATGTTTAACCAACAAAGGGACACCAACCAAATTAACCAAAGACAATTAAACAAACAATCAGCAAGTAATTACCAGGTAGTTCAATTCAATGTGACAATTCACTTACACAGATACGAAAAAAGGTGTAATATTGCTTGAGAAAATAAACATTATATTACAATGATTTTACATTTGAGCCTTTGAGTCAATCAATATCTCAATGAGGTGTGAAAAATCTATGTTATGGGGCGTTCAAGATCAACCATACTCAAGTTCAACCGTATTTGCATTTAGACAGTGGTACAACCCATAGTAAGTTTACAAGCCAGTGATTTATTTCACCTCATGTTTAGGATTTTTGGGATGCCAGTACAGGGATACCTATTAATAATGGGTTTCATATGCTAACACATTATCTGACATGTCCCCATCTCATAAAGAATTCATTATAACACCCTGGGACATCTCATAAATCTGTCATATATGATTAACTGACTATATAAAAAAATCATCAGCTGGCCACCAATGAATGAAGTTATTCTGTGCCCAGGAACTGATGACAAGGTCATTATCAGTGTCTAGAATAGAATGAGGAGAGAGTCTCCTCCAAGAGAACAGCTAGGGACCGGTCCCCTAATCCCGCAATCAGAATGAAGTCAGGATTAAACTCATACTCTGCAACTCTAGAATGAAAAGATAGATAAAGCTTTACTCTTCAATTACACAAGTTTATTTAGAAAATATGCTGCTTGGCCACAAGGAGCTAGGACCTGCCTACTTCAGTTAAATTTCCCTTCTACTTTAATTCCACTCAGTTCTTAAGTGGACATTATCATTTTATTTTTTTTCTGTAAAGAACAGGTCCATAAATCTAGACACCATAAATCTATCAGTATAGAGATGTCGAGATATAAACACTTGATAAAATGTCAATTTAAACACTTGTTAAAGGAAAACCCTATTTATCATAGTTCCAGTTTCTTTTAAAAAAGATAGAGTTTTTTTCATTTTTTTCTTGATAACTTTAAAATTCGGAGAGCTCAGGGGACATAAGGACCCAGTCCAAAGAAAGAGGTGAATGAACACAGTGGCATTGATATATCCAGCCATACAAACACCAGAACTTCTTGGGCTACCTGTGCTACCTAACACTACCAGGACGTCCATCATTTTTGTCACAGGTCAAGCCCATGCACCTATCGGACGGTTACTCATATACTAAACACCAGCGATGTAATTACAAACTTTTGTCAACAACCTCCAATAGCCACCTATTAAAGCATTGTCCAAGGTCAATAGATTTTGGCCCTAATGGCAGATTTGTGGTGTGATGTTGTGCAATCCCTTTTGTTGGTCACAGACCATTGACTAATCCCTTCATTTGTTGACAAACCTAACACAGCAGAAAAAGTCAATACCTCCATAACTATCAGGACAATGTGAAAAGTACCCTGAAGGACATCGTAAATGGTAGGACTAAGGCTGTAAAAAGACGGCAACATTTTCATCGCTACTTGATCAAAAGTGTTTGTAATTTCATGCCGACTGAACATGGATACATTTATGGCTATATACATACACCTTATTTCATCAAGATAAAAGCTCTACTCAGTGCTTGGAAGAAAAAAAAACAGCTTAAATGATTGTATAATATTATGCATGAGAGCATTTCAATGCAACACATTTCAATGCAACATGTGGCAAGCAGTGAAACACCATCTTTTTTGATTTTGCATTAAAAAAACAGTAAATGTCCAGGTCTAAAAAGTGCTTAAAAGAACAGGTAATCTTGCCAGGAAATCTGCTCCTTACAATAGAAATCATTACGCTGAGAAATATATGCAATGCATACATTTAGATTTAACTTTAAAAATATTTTGAATACATTAAAATGGAACTGACACTGTTATGATTAGCAAATCATAAACTCCCTGCAATATCATACAATGGAACATTCCTGAAATAGCTTTGCCATTTGAAGCCTTAATTGTGAGTCCACAGTGTGTACGAATTTCTCACTATTATTGACAATCAACTGTAACTATACCCATGTGGCTTTATATAAATGCAGTGGCTAACGCATTCATCCAGATTGTGTTCTACTTTTAAAGACTTTAAATATACATGTAATTGTCCTTTTTCTTCCTATACAGTAAACAATAAATAATAGTAACACAAATACACACACAACTGACATACCACACAACTGGCACAAAACGATAACACTGAAGATAACAATAGCTTTATGACCTTAGTATTCATTTCTATAGATATAAAAAAGGCATCCAAATTAATAAATCAAACCATTCAAATCTTTATCTAACTTGATGACATAATACACTCGTCAATAAAGATACCAGCTACTATAAACAATAAATTTTATGAATGAACACTTGAACATGATGACTACTGAATTTAAATGCTATAAAAAAAAATAACTGTGGGTCTCTTATTTAGTCTAGTTATAACTCTTTCAGTGTGCTCTAAACCGAGTTTCACAGGCAAAAATAAAATACACCAATTGGGTTCAATGTACTTGAAATTGCGCAAACATGTACATAATGTATGGGCTATTTCATTAATATTTCATAAAAGCCCAACTTTTCTGCAAGATACTACTCAGATAAGAATTAGAGAATGAGAATGCATGAAATTCCCACGTGTTCTACAGTACTAGATGGATTTGGATTCTGGTGAAATTTGGGTTGATCCAATTCAAATTTCCTGACAAAGAGAAATTGTCATTATAGAGGGAACCTTTTGGATATATATCTATAGATTCAGATAACAATGCTGTGACTCGTGGAATAGCCTGGCTTTGATTCTGCACAAAATTTTTATGAATGCATTTTACTAGCCAGGGTGCAGAAATATATATGTGTTTATTGGCAGCACTTCCTTCTCAACTAGATTCTAAGAAATATCCCTTTGCAACTGCTGTAAAACCACACAAATCTTCTTTTTAATGTGCCAAGAACTATATACAATGCCAGTCATTGATTGCATTAGAAAATCAATCCCCATCTTCTAAATGAATTCTGACACTCTGTTGTGCATCCTGCAGCCAACATAAATCACCAATACACAGGGGGCATTGACTTGTGGGTCAACGCCTTCACAATTAAGAATCACTCCAAGTGACCAGGCCATCTTGGAAGAATTACTTCTGACACTGATATATCTACTACCAGGAACTAATTAAGCCATAATGCACAATTGGGTTCAATGGAATGCATTGTTTTTGTACATGTCATAAACAAAATACAATTTGTACCTACTGTCAAGGTAGTTATACTGAAGGATTGAAAGTCGAAGGATTTAAAAAATATTTTGCACGTAAAGAATTTGATGATTTAATACTTTAGTAACTAAATAACACTGCTCTTTATCAAGAATGTTGATGTCAGAATGGAAACTTTGTCATTGTTTCTAAATCAACAGGGTCGCCCGGGTGGCGCAGTGGTTAGAGTGACTGCTCTAAAGTCAAGGAGTAAGGAGTTGATCCTTACGTCGGGGGTTCGAATCCCACTGTGGGACATGGAGATCAGTCCTTCGGATGAGACTGTATAAACCGATCAGGTCCCGTGTCACAGTAGGTGCTGGCACGAAAAAGATCCCTCACTGCTCAATGGCCCTGAGTGCCGAGCAAGGTCAAAATTTGTAGCCCTCCACCGGCAAGTGGTGGTGTCTCTATATGAGTGAAAAATTCTCGAAAGGGACATTAAACAACATACAATCAATCGATCTAAATCAAAAAACTTTCCACATTTACAGTTCATGTAGGGCTTGATAATCAAAAAATAAATTATCAACCAGTCCCCAACCTGACACCTATGCAGTCCCAGAGAGCAGTCCCAGAAAGCTTTCTCAAAGTTTGGGACTGCTCTCGAACTACTGTGGGACTGCTTTCCAGTCCATACGACACTGTTTTTTTTAAATTCATTTGAATGTTTATTAGAGAATCTTTGTCAATGATATCAGTGTTAAATGTACAACACTATGTTTGTAAACTTAAAAAAAAATATGTTGCATAATATAATGGTTTCTGTGGTGTTTTCAGTACTGCTGTTGGATTGACATTCTTGAAATCATAAGTTTAATC